AGGGCCCTTGAGTCAGCTTGGAAAAAAGTAGCATTGCCATTCCGTTTCGGATTCAAACCTGCGAAAGAAGTGGCACGCTACAAAGGAAAACGGCAAGCTGAACGGAAGCGAAATCGACACCAGAACCCGGAACGGAAGCGAGAACAGAAGGCAGCGGAGAAGCGGAAAGCAAAACGGAAACGGGAAAAGTTGTAAACACAGTGTGCTTCCCGCTTCTTTCAAGGTTCTGAGGCCAAGACACTGGGGCCTGGGCTCAGAACCGGAAAACACCATGTGTTTTTCACTTTTTCCGATTCTGGAGGGTCCCGGATTTTCCGGTTCCGGCTTGGTTGCGCTGTCGAACTTTCAGTTTCGGAAGCGGTCCGTGCTAGCAACGAGATTTCGAATTACGGCGATTGGTCCTCGGTTTAAAGTGTTTAGATGATTTACCCTTTAAGCATCATGTTTGGAATTAGAGCGGAAGCCACAGCAGAAGCCCGGACTTGCAACCAAAACCGACGAGTGAACGAAAGAGAAAATCCAACCGGAACCACAAACGGAAGTGGGGAAGTGCCAAGGCATCCGCAAACGGAAAGAAATCTGGTCAGAAGTGGAAACATGCTTGGGCCACAGAGCTGGCAGACCTTCTGTTGAGTACTTGTCGAATCTTACTGAACAAAGCTGCATAGCGCTGCTGCAGAGAAATGTGGAGCAGCTCTGGCGCAGCACGTGTTGAGATGCACTAGGGGTTTGACCTTCCTTAATGCTTCCTCCTGCCATCATCGCGCCGCCGTCCGGCACCCCACTCCTGCTCAATTTCCGCGATGGCTCCACGAGTGAGTTCTTCTTTGGGGCAAATCTTGACACAAGTCGTTCTGGTATGAAGTATATGATCGAAGAATGGTTGTATTCGGTTAGGGCTTCTCGGGATAGTCGCATGTTCGCTTCAAAAGTCAACGTTTTCCGGTGCACAGAACCCGTAAGTGTGTTTGAGAGACCCGTGTGCCTGACAGCAGCCAGAGCATCAGAGAACAACTCCGGGCTCGAACTCGTGAGACACCCAGAGGATCGAGGCTCGGGAGCATAGGTAGCCAGGCAGGGTTCCTTCCGAAAAATCACGCAACATTCAACATCGGTATGTCGGGTGATGTTGGGTGTGGGTGCCACACTAGTGGGACTGAGTCTGGAAATTGGACCCCGAAAGCGGGTGTCACTGGACTTTTGGGCTGCATGGAGGCAGATTCGGTGGGCACGAAGTCTCGGATTCATGTTGCTTGTGAGTGTTTTTCTGTTTGGGATAGCCCATGCGAGCCAAGAGTTAGAAGCAGTACTAGTACGCGAGTGAATTTAATGACCAGCGCTGGCACACAGCCCACGAGAAGGGTTCTGTGGAGGAGGGAGAGGGGGGGCCGAGGGGGAGCCGGGTGGAGGGTGGGAAGTCGCGAAGAATCTGCGGGAGGGGGGGAGACCCGAGACAAGCGTCGAAATTGTGGGCCAAGAACGGATGTCACGAAACTTTAGGCTGCAGGACGAGGATTAGGTAGAGGGTGTTTGGTTAAACCCCCAAGACGCCGGAGGCCCGTGGCCTCGGCGGATAGAGTATTTCATGCCCTACATGCTGCATGATTTATGCAAATGACATGCATGCTGAGGCGAGGGTGCGCTTGGCTAACGTTCGATCACAGTGAGGAAGCTGCGAAGGCCCACGCGTCTGGTTTACTGTCGGCCCGGCGATGGTAAGCATACTTACTGCTAGGATCTGCGGTGTACATCCAGCACAGTCCGGTGTCAGTTCAAGACTGGATAAGCGTTGCCAGTTGCTTACTGGACCCGGCGCACATTATGCAACCAGTTCATAAACTTCGCCTCGCTCAACGGGAGGTCCCTCTGCCAGCGCTGTATCACAGTCGTTTCCTGTCTTGCGAACCGTGGCCCTGTCGGCCCGTCTGTGCACCTGTCTGGCGAATCGCAGCTCAAAAGCTGCAAGACCCATGCGGCATGCAGCGATACCCAGCTCCAGCTTGTTGTCATCAACAGCTTCGGATCTGGTATGATCTGGTGTCAGTTCCTGCTCTCTTTGGACGCAAACTCGTTTGAGACGGTGGTTGACCCACAGAATTTCAACATGCAGTCAGCCAGTTCGAGCACGGTCAGATGGCCCCTCGCATGGGCCACAAAACGCCGCCTTCCAAGCGGTTTCTGGACGATGTCCCCTCGGTGTGTCGTTGAGTGTGATACCGATTGTTCGCTCTGCATGTCGAAAGTATAGCGGCCGCAGTGCAGTGCAGCGGAAGTAGTAGAGCTGGGCCCCTACAGAGTCGCACAGGTCGGCATCTGACACACGGGAATACATCTGTCTCCCGAGGATGCAAGAACGTTACTCGGTATTTATGTCATATCGAGCACATGTCTCGCGGCTTCGGGCCTGAGCCCGCAGGCTAAAGACTTGCGAGCATGGCAACACAGTTGTGTCTCTCGCTGCGAGACATGTGTCAATGTGACATGGTGCACGTATGTTCGGTGGACAGGCCGTTGAACTTTTCAGCGAAGGGACACTGGATGGAAACGTTATCAAGGCGCGCATTGCAGCGAGTGCCATGTTTGGCTACTCGCGCGGCATACCATGCTTTTTTGCGTTGCTGCCGTAGAGTTTGTGGCCCTTTCGCAGGTCGAGATACAGCCCTGACGGGCCTGGACACTCACGCTCAGCCCGCAAAACGGACATACACCTTGTGCAGTCCCTTTGACAGCTTCTTCAACTGTTTACTCATTTTTGCTGGGAGGTGGGCAGGGGGGGGGGAGGGCAGCCTGGACCACCGCCATGGAAGCATTTCGGCTTCTTGCGGTATTTGAGCTTTGAGGTCTTCTATCGCTTTTTGATGTCGCCATCTGGCTATTCGGCTATGCCCAGTGAAGAGGTGTGCTTGTAGCCGACAATTGCACTTTGGCACTTTAGCTGGGGCTTCACGAGCAACAGCAAAAGCCTCAGGCCATCAGCAAGCCTTTCCAATTCACAGGGTAGCAGCAGTTCATTCTGCTACACAAAGCTGGACCGGCTAGACGGCTGGACGCTACTTGCCAGCTTGCCTTTCAGCGATAGCGCCGGGTCATGAAGGATGCCATGGTTCTCGTTGCTGAAAATGGCTTCGGAGAAGAGGTGGACAGGGTATCCCAGTAGACAACTTCGGACAGAGAGTGCGACCACTAACAAGGGACCTTTGCTGTGGAAAGCAAGCCGGTTTTCTAAAGGCAAGGCTGCACAGTTTTGCTGGATGTTCGGATCTGCATGCAGGCATGGTGAGGCATTGACTGGCTTGGTGAGGTTCTAGGTTCTCAGATTCGACTGGGACCGTCCCTAGTGCGTTTCAGAAGTTTGACTTGTTTCTCGGTTCTCTTGGAGCAGAGGAGTCTCCGCATTGCTGTCTTTGTCACAAGCTTGAAACTCCGTACTTGAAAGGCACCCCAGGACTTGCAACAGCGGATTTCAGTTGGAACGAAAGGGGGCGGTGGCAAAATGTGTCGTTTGCGCCATGTTTGATGGCCGCAGTTTTTTCGTCAAGCATGGCGTACCCCATGGAAACCTCAGTTGCCGATGCCCTGGAGCAGTTGGCTTCAGTCAAGGCCCAGCAGTTGGCTTCGGTGAATGGCATTGCAGCTCTGGAAGCACAACACCGACACTGGCAAAGCCATGTTACAGAACTCATTGGACGAATTGACCGTCGACTGCGCGAGGTACCAGAAAGTGCTAGGCCGGTGCCGGAGGTAAGCTTTACTTTTGCGGAACAGCATGACACCACCGAGACCGAGACCGTCGAGATCCAGTCGAAGGGGAATGCTAGCATGCCTAGCAGCATGCCTATGCAGGTCTCCGCTCCCCTCCTTCGTTCATGCGGCGACAGTGGAAACTTGGACGAGAACGAAGAAGTCGAAAGAAGTGAAACGAATGCAAGCCCGCATGATACCACAACGAGTTCGAAGAGCAGGTCCAGGTTGCTGCACCCGACCAGAGACCGTTCGGCACGAGAGCGAGCCGTCCATCATCGCGGAATACCTTGGAAGAGATATTCCGAACAAGAAAAACCGTTGTCCCGAAAGATGGCCAGCCGACCCTGAATAGCATTGTCTTGGAGGAAATGGCCACAAACGCCAAGAGCGAGGCTCCACCGGAAGGTGACACGTGGGCAGAATTCCGAAGAAAAGCTGCGAAGATTGCCAACTCCAGTTGGTTCGAGTTTCTCGGAGCAAAAGCTATGAGTGTGAGAGAGGGTGACGAAGTCCTAACTTCGAAAAGACAGCCCAGCATATTGCAAGGCCCGCCCCCAAGAGCTGAAAATTTGTCCAGATCCGGGCATATCCGGGCCCAGAGATGGCATCAACATATGGGACTAGATGACGAGGATTCGACACAGCTGAGGTATGCGTCGGGCTTTGTTATCATGCTGAACCTTGCGACCATTGGTGTAGAGGCCGAGCTGTCCTTGGCAAAAGGCGCTGGGAGGGCTTGGGCGATGGATTTCAGAAACTTGCAGCCTGCAAACAAAAACGGTTCACCTAGACCCACAAGTAGCGTCCAAATTGGACGAAATTTCGCCTGGAAGTTTTTTGGCGGGCCGTAGATTACCCATCGTGTTGAACAGGGATCCCTGAATACACGAGAGCGACAGAGAGCGAGGTTCTTTTCAGATGTATGGCCTTGATCCAGGCGAGGAGTTCGGTGCAGAGTCATGGCCATATCTTGTGGAACGCCTGTTCTTGGCAGTTTACTTCGTCGAGGCGGTCGTGCGTGCATTGGCAAGTGGTTCTTGAATTGCACATCAGCACGACTTTCCTGGGGATCCTTTTCCGTCCGGAGCCGCATGCTGGCACCCGTAGCGGCTTAGGTTGGTCTGCGTGCAGAGACGGCTGGTTCTTAATGGATGCGCCCAGCCTTGCATTGTGTTTCTATTTTGCTTCTTTTGTTGTTTCGACTGGTGTTTCATGGGCCGCCCGAGTCGAAGCAGCGTTGTGAAATTATGTCGGTATGGAAAGCACAAAAATAAGACAGGATTTACCACAAGGGTCACAACAATCAGTCAGGGTGGTCGCCGGAATGCTGATCATGATGTAGCACGAATGGTACTACTACTACTACTACTACTACCACCACTACGACTACGACTACGACTACGACGACGACGACGACGACGACTACTACTACTACTTCTACTTCTACTACTGCTACTGCTCCTTCCTTCCTTCCTTCCTTCCTTCCTTCCTTCCTTTCCCGGCAAACGTCCGGGGCTAGCGAGGGATAGGCATCAAAAAAACATTTAAAATGCATCAAAAAATTAAAACTGCATCAAACATATAAAGCGTCTAAAGCTGCAGAAAACCCCTGCCTTCTTGTCTTGTATGGCTTCCGTGGCTTCTTGGCTTTTCCGCCTCTATCTATCTATCTGAGTAGACAGAGAGAGAGAGAGTGTGTGTGTGTATGTGTGTGTGTGTGTGTGTTTGCGTAGCGGAATGCTGGCCCGTGTTTCTGCAGTGAAATGCGTGTTTTTACGTGTTGAAGCGGTTCGGGTCCGCAGCATGCTACTGTCTATATATATATATATATAGATATCTAAGGAGTGCGTATTCTTCGCTACCAATAACAAACTGGCTTTGGATAGATACTTATCCATAATATTAATCCAAGGTATGGGCATATGACATATGATACAAAGAAACTGAAATTAGATGGTATCGACTCTCAAGAACGAAAAACGAATTTTGGATCGATGTTGACCATCCATCAAAAACATTGCTGGCTTTTGCCCCAGCAACATCACACTGATTTCAGATGGGTATGGACATTCAAGTGAATCTGGATCTGTACTATGCCATAACCATACAAACAAGCTTGGACTCGCTCAGCCATGCAGGAGGCCAAAACTTTGGATGGGCTTTGATCCATAACAAAAAGCAGTGTTGGAAGGTATTGGCCCGTAGCAACAAATGAATTGGGATGGCACTTGTTCTGCAACTACAACTTGAATATGGATAGGTAACGACCCACAATAATATTGATTGATATTGGCATGCCCTACCAAACAATAATTCGGATTGGCATTGACTCACAAGAGGTAGTTGAAGTTGGATGGGTATTCATCCACGGCAAAGAAAACAGAGTTTGGATCGGTTCTGACCCTCAGCACCAACTAGTTTAATTTCGATAGGGGGCCCTTCAAGAACCAGTATGGCCGAGGTTCGTTTCTGCACGGTTTCTGTGAACCGAACCTTAATCTTGCACGGTTCGGTTCCTGCGGTTCCGGTTCTTGCGGTTCCGACGGTTCGCTATTCAGAGGCCCAGAAGTCTCCCGAAATCCTAGCTGAAATTTTGCTTAAATCTTCTCGACGAGCCCAAATCGTGGAAGAATCTGTGCCCTGCTAGGAGTGGTAACAGAGGGGGCTCAAGAGGGCGGGAGGGTGGGTGCAAATTCTTTCGCATTTCTCCGTGGCACCCAAAAACGCCAAATCGTGGAAGAATCTGTGCCCTGCTAAGGGGTGAAGAGGGGGGTCGTGGCCAGGCCAGAGGCAGGCTGAATTCATGTCGATGACCATTCAGCTACCTGAAGTAGCGCAGTTGCTGAGGGTAGTTGCGCTGGAAGGCCCGAAGACCCCACCGAGGCGCCGTTTCAATAAGCACACAAGAGACGTTGGAAGTAATGTCTCGAATCTTTAAATATTTTTCCAGTTCAAAAAAATCCAGCTGGGTATCTGCGGCAGCAACCTTCAAATGCAAAGCAGCGCTAATCTCCCCGACCATGGACGCACCCTGCCACCCCGCCGCGTCTGAGCCGCTCAGTGGCACTTTGCTACTGCTACTGCTACTGCTACTGCTGCTACTACTACTACTACCACCACGACCACTACTACTACTACTACTACTACTACTACTACTACTACGTACTACTACTACTACTACTACTACTACTACTATCACCACTACCATTACTACTATTCACAGTTCAGCCGGTGATCTCGCGATTACAACCGGGGACAAAATGATTGTCGTTATCAAAACTATGATGACAATGGTGATGACCGTTGTTACTATTGTTGCTGCTGTTCTTGCCGTTGTGGTCGTTATCGTCCCTAATGCTTTGGTTATGGTGGTGGCTGCGATGTTGGTGTTGTTGATGTTGAGACTGAGCGGGGCACTGCTTGCGATTGAAGGTTTCACCACCCGCTCCTTCCTCATCATCCCCCTACCAATGGCTACCTTCTCCATCCTCAAACTTTCTCGTTTTCAGCGTCATCTGCATCAACTTCATCATATTTATTTGCGGTTGTCGTTGCTGTTGCTGTTGATCCCAGTGCTTGTAAACGGGCTGGTGGTTCAGAGCTGATGTTAGAGCTGGAAGGCTGGAAGCACAGGCGCACTAGAGGAAAGACAAATTCATACTGACGCAGAAACCATAGATGCATAATCACAAGACAATGCAAAACAAGTATATCAACCAAGGCTTTCACCAATCAAAGAGAATCGCCCTAGAAGTAGTATGTACTTACACTCGAACGGATCGGGAACACGCCAACCCATTCGATAAAATTCTCCTGAAATCGTTAATCGCCAGCAGTGTCCCCTTTATCTTTTGGGCGCTGATCCTCATACAATCGTCAATCGCAAGCGGTGTCCCTTGTATCCCCCTCACGTCTTTCTGGTGCCAGGGTAAGGGTAGAGAGGGAAGTGTTGGAGATGGGTCAGGGAAGCAAGCCCGGGAAGGAGCGGGGGGGAGTGTGAAGAGCGGGATGGGCAACGGGGTGCTGGCCGCAAAGGGGAGTGACGTACAACTGCAAAACAGCCCTTCACATCCCTTTGATGTTTTTTTTTCCGTTCCATGACGCATCACTTGCATTATTTGCCCATAAAGCCCCACAACGAGTGGGTGTGCACTTGCGCGGGGGTATGGGGTTGTCATTCCCCGGCCACTGCCATCTCACAACGTGAGAGAAAACAGACTGATTGACCACTACAGCCACTATGCCATCTGAATCTGCTCTTTTGCCGGAAAGCCTTCGCCAGCGGCCTTGGTCGGGTGCAACGTTCGACCGGCTCTGAGCGGCTGTCTTCTCAAGCAGACATGGCTCTCATATTTTAACATATTTTAACCTTGATGCACTGACAGTCAGTTT